ACGAGGGATAAATCTCCCGAGAAGAAGGCAAACGAAGAAGATTAAGAGGACACCGGCGATTAAAAGCACCGGAACGGCGAGGTTGACGAGGGAGCGACGCGCGTGTGCCACAGAAGTAGAGAAGAAAGAGAAAGAAGAAAAACCAACTAGAGAGAAATATTCGCCTTACGAAGGAAAATACGTAGCCGATGCTAGCTAGCGCTGACTAGCCCCGGGAGAGCGAAAAACGACCCGTAAATACTGTGTTAACAGGACGTACTTACAGAGAGAAGAAGAGGAGAGTCAGCGCGTTCCCTCGGATTACTCGACTGCGTACAGTTTTGGTCACGAATCTAAAATATATACAGAGCCATCTTGTCTGCTAGACCCTGTCGACGCGATGCTTTGGAACCTGCAAAAATGTTTTAAAGCTGAAAAAAGATTCTCTTGGAAAAAAAAGTGGGAGAAACTTTCAAAGAGGATTTCAAGCGCATACTGCAATATGTATTGAGGTTTTTCTGCAACGAAAGAATCTAGTTAAAAAAAAAAAGAATTTAAAATCCAGAACGCAAATGTGCTTCGATAAAATTGAAATCAAAATTATTACAATTTTGTCTACGTTTTTAGCAAAGAGTAATTTAATTAAAATATTGATGCAAATTTTAGAACCTTAACCTTATAATAAGGATTTATGCAGGACTCAAGTATTTATATCAATCCATATTTGATTTACAATTATTCTGACGGTGTTTTAAATTTATTGCAAAATTAAACGTTCACTCACTTTAAATAGAATAGCAATCTAATATTTCGCAATTTCGTTGCAACATTATCGAGAAATTAGATAAGACTGAAAATATTCTCGTTGGAGTTAATATGACGCCAATAATAATTATATCATTTGCAATGCAAATATATATACATTCGCTCTAAAAAAAATACGACATGACGACAACATTTATTTAGGCGTCTAGGCGCGGGCGGCCGAGTCGCATTCTTTAATTAAACGCGACTGCACAGACACGCGCGCGCACTCTTTGGATATCTCCGCAGGTGCAAAGCGCTTTAGGGCAACTCTGGGAAGACCGCAGGAACTCATTTCGCGGCAGCAACTTTATGGAGATCGATGCTTCGGAAATAAAAGCGCCGGTATAACAGGGGCCCGGCTCTCTCCCCGGCGGACTCGCTGCCAGAGCGGGATGGAGCGCCATGGGATTTACCTATTTCACTACCCCTCTCTTTCTCCTTCTCTCCCTTACGCTCCTCTCTGCCCGTTCAGTGTCCCCGTGGAAGTTTTACTGCCGTCCTGCTTCGTTTCGGGGACCATTTTCAATTCCTACGGCGCACAATCAAAGTTACCGATGAATATAAATGTCGGGGCTAAAAGTAGTCAACTTAAAACGTCGCACGTTGACATTTTCGTTCCCTCGGATTTCAACTCCTCGGATGGGGCCAACGACCCACCGTTTCCGTCTTTAAACAGTCGGGCGCTTCCTATTTTAGCCAAGCGGTTCTGCGTTTTGACGTATTATATTTCTGAAATGTTTGTTTACATTTCGTGCATAAATATACAGAAAGTAAGCTGCTTCTCCCCTTTGCAATCTCCGCGCAAGAAGATACACTGCACAAATGGAAGTAAGTAAAAAAATACAAGTAAAATACTGTAAAAATAATGAAGTAAATTAGATATAGATTGTTGTTTATCTTCTTTTCCGCCGCGTTCTCAGTTTTATGTGCTGATTTTATGTTCGATAAGTTAGCGACGCGTATAAATGGCGGACTGGGACGTAGTCAATTTGACGCCACTCTCCGGCAATAGACTTCTCTTTCGATTCTAAAGAAGCCATCGATCTTTCCGCACACTCGACGCCACCGCCGTTTGACCCGCACTTGTTCAATATGTCATCAACCGAGAATCTCCAAGAAGTACATCGACACAATAAAAAAATATAACGTCATTTGTGTGCACCATTTTTTTTTATTTGCAAATAAGGTACGCGATATGATTTGTGTGGCACGACTAAGTCAATATGATTCTTTTGTTATTATTGTCCAAATTATTTAACAATTATTCAACATTTATGACATATTGCAAGAAACAAAAATTAAATGCGCGAGTTATTACCGCTGCCGTTTGACCCGCACTCTTGTCACTTCAATATTTCATTAACTGAGAATTTTCGAGAGGTACACCGGTATAATAAATAAATATAATTGTGTGCTCCATTTTTTTCATTTGCAAATAAAATACGCGATATGATTTGTGTAGCACGATTAAGTCAATATAGTTTTGTGATTAGTGTCCAAATTTATTTAACGATTATTCAATATTTATAACATATTTTCAAGTGCAAAAATTAATTCGAAAATTATTATTTTCAATTAAAAATTTCTTCAACTTTCTTTTATTCTCCAAAATTTATATTCTTTGCGGCTTGAATTATGATCATAAATTTGAGCACGATGATGAAAATGGACGTAATACTTTACATGCTATTCCACCACAACCTAGAATTTTTTTTACGATTTAATCTTGATATTAACGTCAACGTTGCTCATCGTACATCTGTATTATCATAAATCAGCCACGTATATGCATAAATAGAAATAGGTAGCTATAATGGATTATTTTTTCATTTCCGCGCAGCAAGAAAATATTCCAATGGTACAACGCGAGATGAAAGCGCATGTAAGACGCGTCGCGGAATATTATACATTTGAAATATTTCACTCCCGAGAATCCCGCACGTGTCCAGTAGACATGTTGAATACGAACGCAAGATGAGGCTTCGAATTACCATCGCATTATTATCACCTCATCGCGGCGAAAATCCCCTCTAAAGTGATTGAATCGCTCGGATGTCGGCATGGACATCAGAGGGTGTGCGCGCCAAGGGTGTGTAACAGCTACAAATGATGTGTCGGCGAACTTGACTCTACGACAAATCGACTTGTCGCGGAATCCTATTGTCGCCTGCCGCATGTTTCCCCGAGTCTTCCCCTTTTTGTCGGAAATCCGATCAGACCTCGTTCCACGTCGAATTTGAGATCGCGCGCTCGAGATACTCGCTTACTTCTCCTTCCGTTCGATTAGATTTTTTTCACAGAAGCTGTATTTATGTATCGCCGTTCACTGACAAGAAAATATGGATATTCCGATCATTTATTAAACAGATATAAATTCCTAAATTATTCTAGAATATAAGAGAGTTTTCATAATGATATTTCAAACTTAACAATATGTATTTTTTCTAGTTTTAAGCTGCTTAACTCTAAGCGCGATTAACGCGAGGAAGAAAACGCGGGTTAAAACAGCGTATCAGAACTCAGACTGGGACTGTCCTTTAACCGTCGCGGAAAATTACTCCGAGGATCCTCGTATGTGGCTAAGTCAAAAGCGCTCCCAAAGTTAGCCCAATCAAAGTCTCTCGCAAGATTAGTTAATTATCCCCCGTTTTAATCGAATCCCGACGTGAGCTCTCGCGCTAAGCGAACCCCGACGGCGTTTTCAAGAGTGGATCTCCATAAATTCTCTTTTCTACTAGCCCTCCCCCCCCCCTTTATCCGCCTGCATGTTCTCCTCAAAGATCTCGTCCTTACGTTCCGCCGGCTCTCGGCTGACCGTGCTCTTTCTTACGAGACCGCGCGCGGCCCCGAGCTTCCGGCCTGGAACTTCCGGCTTAACGTAAGAGCTAATAGCACAGCCAGAACCGCGATACTTTTATCTCTCTCCCCGCCACCCGAACTTACCGTGTGTTTTCTCCTGGCTTCATGATTCGGACAGCCGGTCGGCCCGGGATTACCTATCCGGCGATCGAACGCCTCCCTCAGCGTCGCCTAAGCACTCTCTGCGAGCTGTTCGGTCGTCTATTTGCGCCGCCGCCTTGGCTGCATTCAATACCTAGACAGGTTGAGATCATTATCCTCTTGCGTACAACACCCGAGCAATAAGCCTGAGAATCCACTATATGCCGCTGAATTCTGACGAGGAAATACGGCGCTATATATTGGAAATGTCTCTGAATACAAATTATTTTCTCGGATCCGACTTTTCCTCGGTGGAGATATTTTTCTGTAGTATTCATTATTTAAAACGGAAATATATACTATATTCTTGGAGAGCTCTTGCATTTGATTGATGTATTTTCGATCTGTCAAAGTGGACCATTAATAAAATAGACGATTGCTATTTAAAACAAACTGCGCGACAAGTTCGTGCGGCTCAATCAGTAAGGCGTTAATAAGTAACGCGACATCGAAGGCTACTTACGATTTGCAAGGGATAAAGTAGTCTTAGCACTGTCTTAGCTAAATCTATTCGAGTTGTTGCGTTTACAACAAGAAAGTGACGCGCCGCCGTGGATCGCAGTGTCCTGAGAGACAGATTGAATATTCTCCGATGCACCGAGGCGATCAATAAATAGACGCGATTCCTAGAGAGCTATCCTGCGGCAGCTATCCTGCCGGAGGGGGCGGCCCTCCTATCCATTACCGATCCCTATTCAGAGCGAGGACGATGACGATTCCTCGAATGACGAGCCAAATGCACGCTCAGCCCCTCGCTGCACGCCCCCGTCTATTAGTATTCAGGCGACGACGTGACGCGCCGCGGTAATGACGAGAATGTAAGGCGGCGCGGAGGAATAGCTCGACGCGTGTTAACAATATTCGGGAGGACCACGCGCCCGATTATTATCTCGAAAATTGGGTTATCTTGGTATACGCAAGCCGGTATACGGCGAACCATGGAGCAAAGATAAGCCCGTGTTCATCTTCCGTCCCGATGCATTTTAAATATTTGGTCTACCGATCGAATTATAAATGCATCTCGTGCTGAAATTTCTCGAAACTTTCGGTAGACATCCTTTTTGCAAATTTTTCGTAAACGTATAAATTATTAAAGTCAATAACATTGATGGAAAAAGATATTTTGTGCATATTAGACATTATTGTCTAATAAAAATTAAAGCTGTAAAAATCGAGGACTTTAACGGAGAAAGATATTTTTCGCAAATTGTACATTACTTTCTACGAACTGCCGAATAATAATTAAAATTACAATAATCGAGAATCGTTTGATTGTGTTTCGCACCTTTTGTAGAACGCTGATTGCTGGATGACCCAGATTCCTTTTCTTGAGCGACCGAACTTCTCAGGGTGGATTGGCTCCATGTACCGGCGTGCGACGTCACTTGGAGATTTCTTTCATCCGGCGAGAGCGTCTCGGTAAACTTGCCCGCGGTCAGAGCTCTCCCATGCTGCTTCAATATGAAATGATCCAACAGATTCAGGTATTCCGTTTCCAACTTCGTGGACACCGACGAGTACGTGCAGGCGTCGTTTCCGTCGAAGAGATCCAGCAGATCATCGCTGGCGTCGTCTTCCACTCCGGTTCTCGAGTCCGGCGTATTTAATTGGATATAATTAAGCACCACTGCGCCCGGGGGATAATTAGCGCCGTACTGCCGCCTCAGGCTATCCTCGAAGGTCTTGTAGCGGTAAGAATTGTAATTGCACGTAATATCCACCACCGGTAGCTCGATCCGCGTCTCCACGAAGGAGGATGAGTGTCGCGCCAGCGGTATCGTTTTTCTAACGAGCCGCTGGTCGACGAACGCGACACGTGGCACGGCGGGTGACGAGAAAATAGCCCGCGGCGGACACACCACCATCCTCGACTCGGAATTGGAATTTAACAGGTCTGGTAACTTGGGGTAATACTGCACTAGCTTGCGCTCGCCGCATCGGACGTCGCGCGAGCTCTCCGTCAAGTAGCTTCGCAGCGTCGCGAGTAACTTCCAAGGATGCGCCTGCAAATTTCGATACTTAATTAATACCATTTGCGAATCGCAACGGAATAAGTAATTACGAGAAAAAGATTGAGGAATTTCTCGCGGGTGAGCGAAACGAGACGGCGCGGGGGTTTGTTCTTTTGCGCGCTTCCCCTTCAGCTGCGATATTATAAAAGAGACGGCAAGGTGATTAATGCACGTGACGCTTTTTTAATCAGTTTCCTTTTTTACACACATTGTCTCCTCTTACGCGCCCGCAAAGATTTGTTTTCCCCGGCGTTTAACCTACATACTCCCGCCGCAATAAATCATTACCGCCCTTAGAAAACAATTCGTAGGTGCAATTTACGATCATCAATTAATCTTGATCACGTACGACAAACATCTGCAGATGTACGAGCAACGGTAACATCAGGATCAAACCGAAAATTATGGCGGAAACGCTTTCCATGGTCGCGGCTACCGTGGAATCCTGTCGTACACAAAGAATGGTGAGGAGATCGAGCTCGCATCATGGAACCATCTCGAAGCGTACAACAAGCTTGTGCGTCGTGTCGTCATCACACAATTAATTTCGATCGATGCATGGATCATGATTGGAGAACCGAAGTCATGTCGAACTTCCGGCACACCGCGAAGCGCGACAAACTTTGACACGGAGCGAAATAAGCGGCGAACAGCTATCGATTGTTCGTAAAACTATTATTATTGTAGAAGCATGAATTACGTAAGTCCCTTTTAATAATAACATATTATTTCTTGAATGCACAATCAAATCGACGCGGAGCGAAATAAACGATAAATAATTATCGATTGTTTATAAAATGGTTATTATTACAAAATATAATTATGTAAGCCCTTTTTGCAACAATATATATATTGCATAATGCTATTTCTTTAATGTGTAATCAAATTGACATGGAGCGAAATGAGCGGTGAATAATTATCGATTGCTCATAAAATTGTTATTATTATGAAATTAATTATGCGACTCTATTGCAACGGTGTATACATTATGCAATATTATTTCTCTAATTTATTGAAAACAAGCTTCGAACTAAGAGTTGAAATATATCGATCATTCATAGGCGTGTCGCGGCGGGGCGAAAGTTCGCAAGCTTTCTCCGCCCTGTTTGTCTCGCACGCAGAGCGAGTCACGAAACGATTCACTCGAAACTATTCTCGACGGAACGCGTGCTGAATCCGGTATTTCATCATGGCATAATAACTCTGAAGATCCGGAAGAAACGGTCGGCTGACGGCGCGGCGTCTCCATAATGGGATGCAATTTAGACGCGGTCGAAACAGACAACGCCGCGCGTCCTGCAAAGCGTAAATCACGGATGCGCGGTCCGAGGGGGGTTGCGCGCGAGGCCGCGCACGGGGAAAATGGAGGGTGGAAGTGCATATCTTAATTACAATATTCCCACGGGGCGGAACACAGGACTCTCGCCCGCGCTTCGCCGACCATCGTTTCTCCTCCTCCCCGCGTCGGCCTTTCCCCTCCCCGTCTGCCTCTTGGCCTTTCTAGGCAGCTTGTAGGAATTTAATTAATTTGCCAGTGGCGAACAGGCTTGCTCCTTGTCGCCACTCTGAAATATTGTATCCTTCCCACCCTTTAAAAGCCGAACTAACCGTCGAGTGCACCGCCGTCGCCTTTGCCTCGGACTCGCAATCTGAGCGCGATTACCGCGCTCGGTTGCCCCGTTTCCGCCCCTCTCTTTCTCCGGTGGATACGCACGTTCGTGGCGAATTACAAATCAAGTATGTTGTGGCTTTATTAGTCACGCCGGGAATGCGAGTGGGGAATCCTCGAGCAAGCTGGGACGCGCGCGTGCACGTCTCATCGGGCCTCTCGGCGAATAATAACCGTAAGTTCGCGCGAGCCAAGTTTTCGAGATTTCGCAGAAACCGAAACACTTGAGAAACTCGGAACTTTCGCTTCGGAAGATTCCACGAGAATATGCCACACGGTCGACAAAGTGGAAACACTCCGGCGACCGATAGTGCCGGCGAGCTTCAAAAATCTTTCGAATTAGCGCGCAGGGCTGTTAAACTGAAGCAAGCTGTTATCTGAAAATTTATAAGTGTATGTACGGTATCATTCCGGATTGAGGCGGGAGGACTTTGTAATTTAATTAAATTTTCTAATTAAATTTTAAGGAAAAAATTGACCGCAAATTATGCAGTGATTTCATAAAAATTTCGTAAAAATTATATGATGTACATATATACAATATGGGAACACAGTTGGCGATATCAGACTGTTTGAATGTTCTTTGTTACAACTTCCCGAACTACGGTTAGTATATATTTCCAGATGTTTGGGGTTTCTCCAAAGTTCGAAGTTTCACGAAGTACCGGATTTACCACAACTTCCCGATTCCCGCCAAGTTTCACGTCCTTTCGATAGCGTTAATCAGATGACGTTAAGAACTGTTGCAGCGCGTATAATATTCCTCGCGATATAAAATTTCATCGTTCGTCCCAATTTCACGATGTTAAGGCTCGCTTTGTAACGCGAGCGCGCCTTCGACTTCCCTGACAAATCGGCGCACCGAAATTAGCATTTGCGATTAATCCGGAAAAATGCGGTGATTAAAATTATAATAATATCGGGAATCGAGAGATTTTGCATTTCAGATTACTATAATTAATTTCGAAGAGACGACATCGCAATATATATAAAGACACCCGGATTAATCGATACCGCTTGTTAGTTCTACGCCTCTACATCAGTCCGTACATATTTACTTATGTATGACTTCGTGCTTGATGCGCCCTTCGTATCGCGGTATAGTATTGCGCTACTATACACCTAAATTGCCATGTGCATGTTTAAGCCTCGCCGGATAGCATTGCGCGATATTGGAAATTACATTGACGCGATTCATGTTGATAGAATATAAACCCAAGTTCTATCACCTCCAATAGAATATATTACACGGCGTTACATTCTCATGGAACACGCTTCCGTAAAGCTCAACCGCTCGACGATGAAGGGAGAAAGAGAATGTGTTTTCATCTAAATCGCATTTATATTTAAATGCGAAAAAAAGGAGAAAAAAATTAAAGAATTAAAAGAAAATTTTTTTAAAAATTTCTCTTTTTTTTTGGATTTTATAAGATAATCGACGCGTGAAGGAATGTGAGAAAGAAAAAAAGTGCACCGATAAAAAATGCTTTCGTAGCCGAACGGGAAAAATATATGTCGAAGAAATGTGCGTTCAGGCGAATCCTAGTGAAGCTATCGGGATTTCTGCCGAATAATTTATCATCGTTGGGCCGATTTCAGATCGCCAGCGGGGATTAGGCCGACGCTTAGACGCCAGAGTGGTCTAACGTGTTACGGTCGAAAAAATAACCGTTTAACGAGGTGAAATGCGGACGCGCTGACGGAACCGGGCTTAGAAATGATAGACGCGGAGGGCGCGGACCGACGACGAAAGATGGATGGCGACGGAAAAAAGCAACTAAGAGCCGACGCTAGCCGACCGCAGCACGTCTGCCGTTGAAAAGCTGAGGAATCTTGATTCGTCTGAGCGCGAACGCTCGGGCGAACCCGTAAAAAGCCCGCGGAACGCCCGGAAATCCTTTGGTCGCGCCATTAACGGTGATTTCTCCTAAAGCTTCCCCCCACGGCCGATCCTCTTTCTTCGCATTCTCTCGTCGATGTCAACTCCATTTCGTCTCATCAAGCCGTCATTCATCGATCACTCGAGACGCTCTTCGCGCGACATTGTGCGCCGAGGCTCAGTGCTAATACATTTCACTGCATTCAGTTTGTCGCGTTTCGCAGTAAATTCGCTTACTCTATTCTATCCCGATTAAAAATCCAAAAGCAATATTTTACCGAAGACCTTTATTTCGCGTACAAATATCTCGTGTTTCTTTTTATGCATTATCTAGATTTCGGGTACATTTTCTTAAACGGCTAAAGTGGTGCGGGAGATGCGTAAGGAGATCGGGATGCGTATGGTCAGACAGAAAGTATTTTCAGTTGCGTCGATCTGATGCCGCTTAATGAATTTTCACGACACCGCCGCTGCCGTAGCCGTCCGCGACGACAGTCTGCGTGCCGTAGAGAGATCCCGATCCGAGCCCCAGGCCCACTCTCACGCCCAGCAGTCCCGAGTTCGCGGCGACGACGTTCGTGGCGGCCAACGTGGACCCCGAGATGAGCGGCTGCCTCGCCAGAGGCGCGCCCAGGAAGACCGTCTGCGTAATCAAATAATATACATGCGCCGAGCACTTTGAGACAACTCTCAAGCGCTCAATGTAGCGTGCAGGACCTCCCGGCACGTTTTTCTTTGACGATTTCTCGCCGGGAGAAAAATCAACTCGGGATTGATTGAGTAAAAGAATCCTGCGATAGATCTACTTCGCGAAGACTAATGGACCGAGGGAAAAAGCGCTCTGAAGTAACTGGATTACGAACCTGCGGGCGAATTGCAGCCGGCGCGGCGAGCACGGACGGCGCCACGACAGGATGTGCAGCCGCGACCGCGGCAGTTTTCAACGTGACGCCGCGGTCCCGCTGCACGATCGCGTTGAAACCGTTGACAGGATCGGCCGCGTAGGAGACGACGCGCCGGACACCGTCGGGCTCGATCAGACTGTAACTGCCCTCGACCACGTCGCCGTTGCGAATTTCCTCCTGCGCCTTGTTGTCGCCTGCGAAAAGGGTTTGCAATACACGAAGCTTCCGCCTTTTCGAGGATTCCCGTTTATTGTCCCGACGGTGTTTTAATTTAAGTTCCCGAGCGGAGTTCCTGAATTCTAACTCGATAGAAACCCGGACAAATACAACAAATAGCTGAATTAAGAGGTATCGACGGGAACTCATTCTTCGGAATTTGGTAATTCGTTTTGACTTAACTTTCTCTTAATTACGAAGTCATTAAGGTTCTCTAATTACGAACTCCTTCCAGACGTTTGTCCCATCGACGATTCGATTGGGCGCTATCGTGGATTGCAGTTTTCAATTTCCACAGCCATTAACAATTTTACGTAAAATATTTGAATATCTTTTCAAAAAAAAACGTCGCGTTCTATTTTAGACAATCTTGAATAACGTGCAAATTGCACGTTACAATTGAACGGTCTGTAATATGTACGAATTATAACAAGTACGTACCAGTGAGACTATCTGCCACGCCATAACCGAAGCTATACCGAGGATGGGAGTCGTAGTTTTCGGCTCTGATTACCGTTGCAGCTGGCTGCTGCGTGACGGCTACTGCAGCTGCACCGGAGCCAATGATCCCGGCACGGGCGACAGCCAGTAAGGCGACGAAATAGCCGATAATCTGTGCATCAGGAAGGAAATATCAAATGTCATTGGCGTGTTACGTGATTAACTGAAATACGGTTTCTGCTCTAATATCAGTGAACCGAATCAGACGTCGCAACAAGTACATCGACTGTACACAACAAAATGCAGTAAAATCTTTAGAGATTCCCTCACATTAATTACACGGAATAACATTACCAAAGTATGTAAAATATTTCCGTAAAAAATGTAAAAAACTAATTAATTTGTGCAAAATGTAGCTTATTAGTTTATCAACTTTGTAATAAGTTACTAATTTCTGTAGAATTTTTCTGTGATAATAACCAATTATTAATTTAATTTCGAGAGAATTTCAGTTATTTCTATTTAATTATTCGCTGTAGATTATTAAAGTTTTTAAAATTTAAACTTGTATAAATGATAGAAACATTTTTCGCATAAGTTAACGTTAGAAAAGTCGGCATGTTAACGTTCTGGCTGTCGTTGCAACTTTTAGCAAATTAAGAAGCAATATTAAGCAACTAGATGTAGAATATTACTTTGTAAGGCATGATGATCACGGCCGTTGGTATCTCGGTGCTCGCTGAATGACTGGATGTTTCGCACCTTCGAGGCGCTAGATTTTATACCAATCGAGGGCCGTCCCCGCCCTGCGATATTGCATCTCTAGATTTTCCACTCCACTCTCATCGGAGCCGGTATTCGCATTACTATGCGGATTATAGATAAAGTGTAACGCGCACGTACGGCGGAATGGACCGCGATATTACATACCAATGAAAATTTCAAAAGCGCCACGTGAACTAAAAAGTATATCTGAAAGAAAAAAAGAGACGGCTTTCTGTTCAATTTGAAATTCTCTCGAGAGTTAATGTTTCCTCAGTGAAATTAAAACCGGATAGAAAATTTCCGCTGGACGAGTTAAATCTCCGTGCTATATTTATCTGCGGCACGCAATGCCGATATTGTTTCAAAGAATAATTAATTTCGCTATTATCAAACAAAATAACGAGGAGCAGCAGAAGTGAATAATTAAACGTCGCATCGCATGATGATAAACATTTGATGTATTTAAAAGAAATCAATTAAACATTTTCTAATTTTTAGAATAAATATTTAAGTCTGGTTATATTTCGAAAAAATAATTAATATAAATTGTCATTTATCGGGGAAAAATTAAAACTCCGAACTTTTTAAATCAACTCTGATATCAAAAATTACAAATTTAATTTCACGGAAAAACTGTCAATTATACTTAATTCTATATTTTCCGTAGATTGTTGAAGTCCTTGTTACTTTTTTGGAATTAAATTCAATTTAAATTTAAATTAAGCTTCAGACACAAATGACCGTGTCATCCCTCGCGTGTTTTAACGCAACCGCAAAGATCTTGATGCCGCAACCTGTAACTGTACACCCGATCAGCTAAAATACGCGCTAAGAAGATCGTATTATTCGGTAACGTCGATGTAAGGTAATAAATGATATCATTGCGACATTGAGTAACCGAATCTCTTATAAGCCGAGACTCGTCAGGCGGATAGACTTTTGATTAAACGCGCCGGTATGTTTGCTTCATTTAGGTCAAGTAAGTCTAGTAGTAACTCGAGGATCCACTCGAGGAGTCGTATGCTCACTTCGGTAACTCTACCTGCGTTAATCCGTGTGTGTATACAATCGCATACACGTGCGACGTTGAGCGTGTGGGCATTTGTGTGCGCTCGACCACTGATGTGAAGCGGTGGAACTACCATTGGGAAGGAGTTTTGCGTGGATCTAAGGAAGGGTGGTATGTTCAGGCACTGTATCTGGAGAAGAAAAGTCAGATTATATACACGAGCAATTGATTTCTTTTTTAAGTTGCACTTATGTGAACGAATTATATTTGTAGTAAGCAAAATGTTAGCAATACTGACAGATTGACAGCAAATTTGATCAAACTTGATAGCGAATCTGTGAGCAGATTTGCTGTCAATCTGCCAATACTGCTAACGTTTAGTTACCTGAGTTATTAAGAAGAAATAAAATTGAGAAAAGTAAATCGACGATTAACTTTTGGCTTCGTAAGAATAAACACCCATCATTTCTCGACATTTTTCTTTCATTATTTAAGCGAAAAATATTCTCCATATTAATCTTCTTATCCGCTTTCCGAAATAATGCAGTGAAAATAAACTTTTTGAAGAAAAGATGAGATGAAATGATTAGTTTCGATTGTCAGAATCGTTTTTCAAACGTTTCAACGTTTACAGAAATACCTAAAAAAATAATAAAAATTGTTAGTGAAATAAAAAATTAAATGATTTCTAAAAAATATATTATATATTATATAAATATCAATCACATTTTTTATACATTGACGATCAAAGATCATGTATTTATATTTCAATAACCCAACATCGAGTTAAAGAATTTTTCAGTAGTACAACTCGATATCAAATCAGACGGCTTTTTTTTCTCGAATATAATATTTGTGGCCAAAAAAATTATTTTTCAGATACGATGGGAAATTTATGGGAAATAAATATTTCCTGTAAGTTAAATTTTTATTTTAATTTTCGATTTTTTTTATTAAAAGTCAAATCAATGTTTGACAGTAATTAAAAAGGAAAAAGGATGTAGGCAGTAGAGAGAATATGATACGCAGTTGTATGTAGCAGAGAAATACCATTTTTCACGTCCTTTGCGATTCTTTACATACACCACTGACATCCGTACATTTGTGCCTCGTCCTTAGTCTTCAGTGGGCACACATTTATACCGATTCAACGGCCAGTAATACAGCAGGCGAAACCACGTGTCTTAAAAAATATAGATCCACAGAGTTATAAAAACTGCACAAAAACTCGTTTAGATCTGCGTAGGTGTACCTTCGTATAAATTACATGTGTATACATGTGTGTGCACACAGGGTCTTAGTACACCGCGAGGAGATATTCGGTAAGCCCCGTCAAGGGAACGTGCACAAAGCTGTCGCCTCTTCCATTGGATGCTCCCGAAACGTATCTGCTTGATATATTATACATTGTGTCTGTCAGTTAACACTGGAGAATGGGAGTTGGCGTGTTCAGGAAAATCCTATCCGTTCACGTAAGATCATTACATAGTTAAGTAGTTATGCTTAATTTATGCATCGTCGAGGACAGGTAAGCAGAATCTGTACTCCGATAATGCCACAGCCTTCAGCTAAAAAATATAAACGTGCAAAAAAGGAAAATATGCACGCGCCAATATTTTGTATATATATATATATATA